AGACCTCAGATCCCTTCCCCTAACAGGCGCCTTGTGTTCTCTTACTTACTCTTCCTTTTCTGTGGAGCACCTGCTTGTGCGGCTGTCATCTAGTCATTGTTGTTAGTAACTAACCCTCTGCTGGATCTAGTGCTTAATGATGTTAAGAAAAATATTCAGAACGTTTCCCAAATTTTAGAATCATCAAGAGGAGTGTAGAGGTTTTATTCATTAATGTTTTAGGAGTATTCATCCTGTCTGTACCTTTGAGAGCAAGAGAATGAAATTTTGTTTTTAATATTATTTACTCTATTATATTTATTTTAGATAAACAAACTCCCAACATTTCTGAAGTTTACTTTATCCAAATTCATTCATATAACATGTGTTTTTGGGCACCGACCTGGGTCTAGGCACTGTTGGACGCCCTCTAGGTACGTTGGTAAACAAGGCAGCGCCACGTCCCCTCCCCCATCTCGTGGAGTTGTCATCTGATGAGGAGGGACAGACACTTAACAACAAGGATACAAATCAGTAAATGATGTTACATGCTAAGGAGAAATAGAAAGCAGAGCAAGAGTGTCAGTGGAGTCCAGCAGGTCACCACTTGAAATAAGATAGCGTCGGCCTCAGTGAGAGAGCCCTTTGAACGAAGACTTGTAGGAGTAATTGGGATTAGCTGTGTGGGTGTGTGTGGGAAGCATATTCCAGAAAAATGAAACAGTCAGTCCAAAAGTCCCAAAGAGGGAGGAATGCCTGGCATTTTGGGGGTCAACATAGAAGCCCACATGGCTGGGGCAGAGTGGGCAGAGAGGGGAGGGGGAGGGGAGATCGGGCATCACAGGGACAGGCACGGTCGGCTTTTCTAGGGCATTAAGCAGCCTTGGGCTTTCATTCAGTGTGGAAAGGTGAGCACCTGGGAAGTTGTGAGCATGGCAGTGACTTCACCTGATGTATCCTTTAGATAGATTTCTCGGGCTGATGCCATTGAACATATGCTCACAAATATAGACACACACCATAGAGGCATAGGAAGAAGCACAGAGACCAGTTAAAAGAGGATTTGAGGAATCCGGGCTGGGAGTGATGGGGCCCAATCCAGGGTGGTGGCAGTGGTGGTAATGAGAAGCTATTGGATGGGGATGTATTTTAGAAGATAGAGTCAAAAGTCTAAAAGAGTGGTTTGGGGTTGTGAGAGAGGCATCATGGGTGATGGCAGGGTATGTGGCTTGAGCAGCTGGAAGAATGTGGTTCCTCTCCAGCTGGGATGGAGCGGGAGGCAGAGTGGGCTTGGGGGTGGAGGGAGGACCAGGAGTTGAGCTGCTGAGATGCTAATTGTGAGATGCCTGTTCTGTGTGCAAGTGGAGATGGCAAGGAGGTGGTTAGATGGGATTCTAGGGCTGAGAGGGAGGTGTGGACTGTAGGTATCGAGTGTTGTTAAAAATGAATATTTTTGAAGCCATGGGTTTTTTTTAATTGCAGTGTAATGCTTACAGTATTGGGTTAGTTTCAGGAGTACAGCAAAATGAATCAATTTTTTCACAGATTATATTCTGTTACAGGCTATTACAAGACATTGGGTAGAGTTCCCTGTGCTGTACAGTAAGTCCTTGTTGCTTTACAATTTTATGTACAGTAGTTTGTGTCCATTAATCCTGTACCTTTAATTTGTCCTCCCCCTCACCTCCCCTTGTTAACCACAAGTTTCTTTTCTGTCTGTGAGTCTTTCTGTTTTCATATATGTTCATTTGTATTATTTTTGAGATTCCCCATGCAAGTGATCTATAGCATTTGTTTTTCTCCATCTGACTTACTTCATAAGATGTAATATTATTCTCTGAGACTTGACAAAGATTATCAAGGGGGTGGGGAGGGTATAGCTCATATGGTAGAGTGTATGCTTAGCATGCACGAGATCCTGGGTTCAATCCCTGGTATCTCCATTTAAAAAAAAAGAAGAAATTAAGTAAATAAATCTAATTATCTCCCTAACCCCCCCAAAAAAACTAAAAAAAAAAAGAATTATCAAGGGAGCATATCTGGAAAGAAAAAGCAAACCCAAGGCCTGAGCCCAGGGCATGCTGACCTAAAGAGGGAGGGGGTAACCTGCAAGGACAAAGCAATGTTGAGGCAACCTGAGCACGTGCACTTCTGAAGCCATGTGGGTAGAGTATATGGAGAGGAGTAGATCTGTTGTGTCCACTGCTGCTGAGAGAGAATGAGGACTGACAGCTGACCTTGGAGTTTAGCAGGAAGGAGGCCATCGGCATTGGACAAGCAGTTTCCATGGGCAGGTGGCTGTGAAAGACAAACAGAGTGGGAACAGGAGAAGTGGAATTGGCTACTTAATGGTATAGACCTGCTGGAGGAAAGGGTGTAAAAGGTTGGGGGGAGGGGGCAGTCAGGAAGACTTTTCATTTGCCTTGTTTTGAATTTAATGAGAGAAATCATGGTATGAATGAATAACAGAATGTTTGTGCTTTTTGGAAAGATGCAGTAGCCGGGAAGAAGTGCATGATGAGGGGAGTCATAGAGCCGTGTCCTCGAGTGGAGGGGCTGTAATGGGGTCCAGGGCACAATGGGAGGGTTGGCTTCAGGTGGGAACATGGACAATTCACCTGTGGAAAAGCAGAAAGGAGGAGGGGAGAGGTGGGTGTGGGTACTCATAGGGGCAGAAGTGGTGAGAGATGGGGGTGATTTCCTTCAGTTGCCTCCACTTCCTCTGAGAAGTAAAACATGCTGTGATGAGGCGGCAGTGAGGATGGGGCCAGGGTGCTGGAGGGGAGCAGTTGTGGGGGGGTTCTCCTGGAGGGCTGGGCTCCCAGCAGCAGGAAGTCTGCAACAGGTTGGTGACCGTGAATGTGAGCTGGGAGCAGGCAGGCAGGAGGGGTGTGTGTGTGTGTGTGTATCTATGAGTGTACAGCCACTTTCTCCCACATGCCTGCGGGTGTTGATAGTTGTGTAGTTGGATTTACCAAGAGAAGTGGTTTTTGCCCAATGAGTGCAGTGGACTGAGAGAGGAGCAGGAAGGAGCTGCCCATGTGTTTGGGATGTAAGTGGGGTCATGAAGGAAGAAGAGACATCGGGGGTGTGGACAGTATGAGACACACAGGATCAACAGAGTGAGTCCCGGGGGCCCAAGTGCTGTGGGCATCCAGGTGCCAGAGGGCACGCCTGGTGGGGGTAGGACTGCCAGAGGGTAAATGCCTAAGACTGAGATTCGGGCGCAGTTGCATTACTGGTAACAGAAAAAGAACCAGAAAAACCAGTGGGAGAGAGCAGCTAGGGTGGAGAGACGTGCACAGGGAGTGAGTTGAAGGGTCTCTGGTGCGCAGTTGGAAATTACTAAGAGTGAAGCCAGACATCAGGTCACAGTCGATGGAAATGAGGGGGATGGCATAGAGGTTGATAGGTGAAGGCAACAATATTTTTATGAACATTTTCCCTGATTTCAAAATTTCATAGTGTTTGCTACTGCTAAAATAAATAAAAACATATCACTAAAATTCATATTTATTTGAGTACAATGGCAAACTGTGATTTTCTGTTTTTGTACTGATCTACTTTTTCTCATTAAAGTCTCTGTTAAGTAGGATTTAAAAAAAAAATCTGTCTTTTTGTTGGAAAATTGCCCAGAGTGATTTTACTTTTATTCCAAAGAACTGGAATTCCTTGGGGGTGGTTGTTACTTGTCACAGGTTGGGTGCCAGAGAAGCAGCCTCTGAGCCAAAAGCGCGTGTACAGAAAGTCTAGAGACTGTGCTTGGCATCAGCCCTGGTTCCCAGGGAGCAGCACCTCGTGACTGGCGCTGATGCAGTTCAAAGTCTTCTCTTTCATGTAACCAGGAAGCCTGGGCCAGTTAATTCAGAGCCGGTGCACCTGTGCAAGGAACCTGACCCCTTCTTCTTTCCTGCTGCAAAATCCCTAGTCTGTGACTTCAGTCTTCCTTGTCACAAGATGGCTGCACAACCTCCAGCCCTGTCAGGAGGAAGAGGGTGAAAGCTAAAAGGTATACACCCATTAACTCAGCAGCTTAATCAGAGAAGTAGTCGCTGTCCTGGAAGCCCAGTGTTGGAAATTTTTGCTTTCATCTTACTGGTCAGAACTTTGATCCTGTGCCGTTGTCCCCCACCCAACCCTGGATGCGTGGAGTCCAGGGAGAGGGGTGTTTTTAACTGGCACATTGCTGCCTGGGGCAGAATTTTAGTGGGGAGGAAGAGGAGGTTGGCAGCTAGCAGTGTCTGCCATGTGGTGATTTTCCTTTTTATCCTAAATTAATTTTTTTTTACTGTCTACTCTTGTGTTTTTATTTTTAGATTAGTATGTTTGTTGTCACAAAAGGAATAGTTGCTCATTATTTAAATTCAAAAATACAGAAAAGTAAAAAGGAACAATAATTTAGCCAGAAACAGCTGGTGTCATAGTGGGTGAGCCTCATTCCATGCCTGTTGTGTGTGTGTCCTTCTGCAGATGGAAGGAAGCAGGGATGAGAACTGGAAGGAAGGAGACAGGCAGGCACGTGGACAAATAAAAATGGACAAAGCATTTTATAAGAACAGATCACACTTTATCAGTTCTTTTCATTAAAATATTAGGTTTCATTTTACTTAAATCTGTAAGAAGAAAAAGAAACTTCATCCTGAGAAATGTTACATCCCAAAAGGTCCTTCAAGAACATAGATTATGAAAACCCCTGAAAGACTGCCAAAGCTATATTGTTATTTTTAACTGCTTTTTCCAATATTATACACTGATCAATTTTCCCTTCTATTAAATACGTAGTAAAACTTATCACATCCCCCACTCGCATGAATCCTACCCATTTTTGTCGGTTTTTTTTAATAAGTATATCATTTATAACTTTATTTTATATACTATATATAATGTATGTGTCATATAACATTATATATATTTATGTATGATTATATTATTTATAATTAATATATTTATTATATTCTCTCCAGCAGCTGTAATTCCCTTAAGCATTTGAAAGTGGATCTTGGTTCTGGTTATTACAGAGCCAGAATGCTTTTCACCAGTCCATTAGCCATTGCTCCTCCATTCTGGAATTATTTTGATTGCCGTATAATTTGACTGAATTTTTTTAATCCATTTTTTTTAAGAAGGGCTCAGAAGTCCCAAATTCTGCAGTGTTTTCATGTTTGAATTTCATATCTAAGCAACTTTTCTTTCCTGTATAAAAGGAAAAGATACTGTCCATGTACTATTACTGAAAAATAACAACTTAGAGAAATCAAAATGAAGAATTCAGGAAGGGAGAATTCTGGTGTGAAAGCACTGGCTGGCTGCAGCTGGAGCAAGAACCACCTGCCACACTCCCGCCGCCCCGTCCTGGGAGATCACAGTGCTGGTGGGTCTGACCCCTTCACTGGCCACGTTAATGGTCCTCTAGTGACTTGGAGGGATTAATGGCCTGATTTTACATTGACTGAAACAGATCCTTTATGAATGCTTTAAGAGGTTTCTACGGAAAACCTTCTAAATCAATCTGCCCAATTAAATGTGATTACTACTCTATAAGGAAAAAACCTGGAAAAGATTTGAAGGAAATCTTGGGGTGAGGTATTTTTGGGGACTTGTTTCTTTTTTTGACTTTTCTGTAGTTTCCAAATCTTTAAGAACCACTTATTTCAATTTTAATGAAAGAAGTAAACTTTGCATTTAAAAAGTTAACACCCTAAAGAAATTATATTAAAAATATAAAATTTTAATTCTTCACTTATCTCGAAGGCAGTCAGGGAAACGTTCACTGGGGGTCAGTTCAGGACCTGCAGGGTTTGAGTATGGGCCTCCAGATCTCTTCTAGGGAGTTCCCTGAAACTTTCTTTTTGTATTACTAACTGAATAATTATTGGCCTTAGAACTATTTCTGCTGTTTGGGGATTTATGAGGTAGCTTAAAAGCCAAAAATTTGACCAAAATATACATAAATAACATTTTTTTCTAATGTGATGAATGATATCACAGTATTAGAGCAGGACTATCATTTATTTCTTTAATCAAACTTGAACTTGTTGTTATAGTTTCCATGCAATTTATATTATTCCAGTGATACTATACCTTGATATACTTTATACAGAAAAATGTCCTATAAAGCCCACTTAATCGGAACTAAAATTCTTCATAAAGTTATCAGCTGCTCTTTGATTCCTCTTTTAGATATTTTTAGTTATTTATGTGAACATTTAAAAGAGTAATTTATTTAAATTGACAAAACCTGAAATTATCCCGATCCACATTCTCCTCACATTTATTTAGCTCCATGTGTCATTGGACATGAGCCTTGTGTCAGTTGGCCTCCGCGTCAAATGGAGTAGAAGCAGGTTCCGGGCAGGGGTCCCGCATGCAAGGTCCTGCGTGCAGGGGGACAGCTGTGTGAGGGCACTTGTTATGCACCTGCCTGCTGTGAGATCCTCTCTTGTCTTAGTGCTCCTGTTGTATTAGTGATTCTTGTTACATAATTGCCGAATACACATTCAACGTAGTTTGTATTTGTGGTGCTTTTATCCATTGTTAATGACATTTAGGAATATCTGAAGCAGGACTCACCAAGCCAGCAACTCCAGCCTCCCACGGGGAAAGCTGCGTGGCTCCCCGAGAAGTCTGAGGGCCCCTCAGAAACTGATGTCTGTGTTCAGTTTCTGAATGTAGGTGTTGAATTTCACAGTAATATTCATAATGGTTGTATGGTCTATAATTATATGTTAAAATTAAATTATAAATAATGAAATTTCTTCTGCACTGAGTGATACTGCACTCACTCACTCTTACTGAACATTTATTGATTTTCTTGTGTAGTAGAACATTGTTAACCGTGTCATTTTCATTTGTGTTTTTATTCCCTAACCCACTGTGTTCAAATCTAATATATAACTCAACATACCAAAGTAATGCTTTTCCTTAAAAGGATTCTTCAGGCTACCATGGTGGGAACAAGGAAGCAAAACTGACTATGTTTGAAAGAGTTCAGGAAGCAGAGGGAAAATGCAGAGGGGCACAGGCCCTTGGGCAGTGGATTACAGTCACATTCTCAGAAAAAGAGAGAGAGCTTTGGAAGATAAGATGGGGGAAGTACAGAGACAGCAGGAGAAGGAACTATTCCAACCTAGTCAAGACAATTATATCCTTCGAGCCAAGGTACTAGACACATTGCCCTACTTTTCCTTTTACTTATGGAAAAAGAACTAGTACTCCCTGCTAAATGCATTGTCACCCTCTGTCCCTGTGGCTCTTTGACTTGATGC